GAGAGAGAGAGAGACGCCCGGGGACGCAGAAACATGGAGAAGTGCGGAGATGCGGAAAAGATGCGCGGGGATGCGGAAATGCGGAAAAGACGCGGAAACGCGGAAAAGACGTGTGGAGATGCGGAAATGCGGAAAAGACGCGGAAAATACGCGCAAAGACGCGGAAACGCGGAAAAGACGCGCGGGGACGCGGAAACGCGGAAAAGACGTGCGGAGACGCGGAAATGCGGAAAAGACGCGCGGGGCTGCGGAAACGCGGATATTAATACACCTACACTTATTCAAACTTGGCGCGAGACGCTACGTGAGATACGCGACAGCAGCGCCAATGCCACGTTGCGGCAGAAAAGTGAGATGGATTTTGGCCTGGTTGACCACGACGACGACCACGACGACGATGACGACGTTTCTTAAAAAAAATTACGTGAAAATTCAGACCCTTGGACTTTGCATTGCAATATCTCTACTCATGGGGCACGTAGGAAAAAAGTAAAAATAGTTTTATTATGCAAATCGTACCCAAGCTGTCGATTAAGCGCAGTCTCAAGTTTGTGGGATCAGCCATTGTTGAGAAAAAAAAATCTGAGGGCCCGTCAAGTCGTGTACTCGCGTAAACTTACACGGTCGGTCTCGCGCGCGTGGTACTAGCTTCGCTTACACTTGGCGCGAGACACTACCGTGTCTCGTGATGGTAGATATAAATACAATTATGAAATAATAAATAATATTAATGATACATGTAATATAAATGAGGTGTGAAATATAAATAACAATGAACTAAATAAGTGATAATTAAAGGAGGATTGATACGATCAACCGAGCCGCCGCCGGCGGCGGGGGTTGTCTGAATTTTACGAGTGTCTCGCCCGAGAGATTACAAAGGTAGTTCCGCTACTTCATGCCTTCAGATCACAAGTTTAGAGTCAAAGTTTTTCAAATTTACCGCCGAATCCGTGTCGCGGCGGCCCCGTTCCTCTTGTTTGTCATTTCGTTTAAAGCTTGATGTTCCCAAAAAATTATTATTATTATCATTGTTATTTTTTTAGGGGGTAGAGTAAGGGGTTGAGAATCTCTCGGGCGAGACACTCGTATAATTCAGATCAACCCCCGCCGCCGGCGGCGGCTCGGTTGATCGTATCAATTATACTTCGTGTCTCGCCCTTCGAGATTACAAAGGTAGACGTTCAGAGTCTGAATAATTTTTTGGGTAAGCCAATTTATTGTATTTAGGATTTAATTGTATATAAAACCCGTAGAAACGGAGGTATTCGTTATCATTCTGATGGTAACATAACCGTTGTTGCAAAGGAATTTTCTTGGATCGTCACGGGTCTATTATAGAATTCTGTGAACACTTTTGAGCTCCGCGACCAACCTGCTACTTGTTTTATTTCCTCGATTCTTACTCCTTTTTTATATGCTTTGGATGTCGATGCATGTCTGGTACTACGTGCCGTAAAACTTTTATCTACTCCCAGTATCGTGAGGCTCGATCTAATCCATCTACCCAAAGTATCCACCCCTACTTTATTGTGGGGTTTTTTCACGGAGATAAATACCTTGTCTTCATTATTCCTTATCTTCTTGGTGGCCTCGAGGTAGTGTAGTAACGTCCTAGCAATACAAAGTCCTGGTCTTTCCTTGAAGAATGGAAGTCTTAAGAGGGGTTGTTTTCTACTTGGTTTCGATGTCTTTATTCTTTCGGGGATCTTGATTTCTATTCCCCCGTTGGATTTGAGGATGTTCGAGATCCGGATTGAGGCTAAGGTTTGTAATCTATGCGCCGTTCCTAGCGCCATCATCAGAACTAATTTATACGAGAGTTGTTTCAACGGTAAGGCCTCTAATGGGAACCACTCCTCCAATTTTCTTAGTACTGGGTCGACGTCCCATGTCGCGTCGTATCTCGGGTTACTTGGCCTTGATTTTGAGCTTCCCCTGATGAATTTTCTGATTAGTCCATTGGCTCCGATATCCTCAGCAGAAATGGTCGCCAATGCCGATCTTGCTGCGTTCAAGGTTCCATAATTAGCACCTTCCTTGTATCTTTTTGTTAGAAATTCCAGTACCTTGGCCGCCGACACCTCTAGTGGGTCCATCTTTCCCTCGTTGTTGAACGTCCACCATAGCGCTAACGTGCTGTTGTATTGTTTCAATGTCGAATCCTCCCATGCTCTTAGCATTATGCCTATTGAATCTTCAGATGCTCCTCTGTGTTTTAGCGCTTCCCTGATAGCCTGGCGGCAACCAGGGTAAGTTTTGCTGCTAGCGGATGGTGACGTGTCCTACAAGGTGAGATTAAAAGGTTTATATCTGGCTCAAATTCTAAGTATGGTCCTTTTATTAGGCTCTTAAATACCGGAAACCACGTCTGACCCGTCCACAAGGGGACAACTACTATTCCCGAGGCTTTATCGTTCTTAATTTTTTGGAGTACTCTTGCGATCATGCTAAAGGGAGGGAACGCGTAAAAATCTAAGTCCGACCACTTAAGGGTAAATGCATTTATGGCTTTTGCGTCGGGGTCTCTTTTCCAAGCGCAATATGTCTTACACTTTGAGTTTATTCTTGATGCAAATAAGTCTATTTCGGGTTCTCCAAAAGATTTAATGATTCCCTGGAATGCGTAATCCGACAGCTCCCACTCGATGTCCAAGTTTTCTATTCTGGATAGGGTATCAGCCTCTACATTTTCTCTGGATGGAATATATTCCGCCAACACCCATAATTTCCGTCTTTCGCACCAATTCCAGAATTTTTTGGCATCTGCATGTAGATGGTCAGCTTTTACACCTCCCATTCTATTTACGTATGCCATGGCCGTAGTATTGTCAATCCTGAGTAGGACGTCGCATTCTGACAGATTCCTGGCGAAGCACTTGAGTGCCAGAAGCGCAGCTTTCAGTTCTAATTGATTTATATGTAGCTTCGATTCTTCGTAGCTCCACAGACCATGAGCTTTATTCCCTTCGCAGAAGGCACCCCATCCTGTCATGCTAGCATCCGAAAAAATCTCTTTCCTAAACTCCATTAATCTTATCCGCTTGTTAGAATTTACCAAATTTTTCTTCCCCCAAGTTAGATCTTCCTTTATAAAGGCTGGAATCCGCATTCTCTTCTCGAAGTCCGTATGGTCCCCATCCAATGCTTCTAATTTTGCTCTTTCTAATGCTTTCGAGTGGATCATACCGTATTCCACGCCCGGACAACTTGCCACCAGCGAACCAATAAGTCGGGCAAATTTCCGAACCGAGCATGATTTTTCCCTCTCTAGATTATGGATCTGTGTGAGTAGTCTAGCTTTTTTCTCGGCTGGCAATTCTACGGACATATCCTTTGAATTCAGATAAAAGCCTAAATATTTGCATTTTTGTCCTGGATTTAGGTTCGATTTTGCTTTATTTATCATAAATCCAAGTGCTTCTAACAATCTACAGGTAATCCGAATATTGACTTGGCATTTACGATAAGACTCTCCAAGGCATAGTATGTCATCTAGGTAGATGACGGATAAGAGACCCCGTGATCTTAACCAATTCATAACTGGTTTCATTAGTTTTGTGAAGACTAGAGGGCACGAACTAAGACCAAACGGCAAGCATGTGAATTCGTATAGCTGGTTATTGAATTCAAAGCGAAGAAATTTCCTAAACTCCGTGTGTATAGGGATCAAGAAGTAAGCTTCTCTTAAATTAATTGTACCCATGAACATGTCCCATGTTAGTATCCTACAGGCGGCTCTTAAGTCTTCTAGCTTAAAGTGTTCTGTATTAACAAACTTATTTAATTTTTTAAGATTTAGGATAAATCTATAATTCCCGTCAGATTTTGGTATGAGAAAATAACTTGATATAAATTGACCGTTTGTTGCTATACAAGTCGTTATCGCAGAGATTGATCGTAGTCGGTTTATCTCTTTTTGTATTTCTATGAACTCTGACTGGGACCATTGCCTCGTGGGAGGTTTCTGGTCCTGATGGGGAAGGGATTCAAAAGGAATCTTATAGCCGTTGACCCATTCCAATATAAGGGGGTCAGACGTGATAAATTTCCAGGTATTTTGGAAGTTAGATAATCTTCCCGCGATTTCCTGTACCTGACTTTCGTCGGATCTTAACGTGTCCGGCTTCTGTATGGATGGGCCCGGTAACTGCTCGATCTCGTGTAGTCCGGCCTCCTCGAAGATTCTGATGTCGGCTTCCTCGTTTGGTATTTCTGTTTGGGGCCCGATTGCGTAGCCGACTTGTGAGGAACAACCGGGCCCTTCCAGTTTGGCGGTTTTGACGAACTGATTTGAGGTTTGAATGGTTGCGCTTTGATTTCCTGCCCTAGCTTGGTAATCATTTTGACCTCCTTAATCCTGTCCCCCAGGTTTTCGCCGAAGAGCGCACGGGTTGGTCCTAGTGAACGAGGGCCGGACCTCCACCTGTGTGCGGACGCAGCGGGAGTCCATTGTGGATCTCACATGGGCTACCCCCTCGGCCGCGCGCCTGATAACCGGGTGGAGGGTGGAGCGGGACATTGAGACTCTGTCTGATCACCGTTATATAACGGTGGAGCTCGGTGTCCTCTCCCCCGTGCGTCGCCAAGAGGAGACGCGACCGCGATGGGCCCTCCGGAAACTCCGCGAGGACGACCTGATGGCCTCGATTGAGGCCGCCTGTTGGGTCCGGGGAGGTTTTCCCGAGACCCGGGAGACGGACCCCCTGCAAGAGGCCGAGTGGATCGGGGCAGCGTTAACAGCGGCTTGTAGCGCTGCGATGCCCCAGTCCAAAG